TGGAGATAGTGGGAGTGAGGGTGAGGGTGAACATTGGAGATAGTGCAAATGAGGGTGAGGGTGAACACTGGAGATAGTAGGAGTGAGGGTGAGGGTGAACATTGGAGATAGTGGGAGTGAGGGTGAGGGTGAACATTGAAGATAGTGCAAATGAGGGTGAGGGTGAACACTGGAGGTGGAGGGACTGAGGGTGAGGGTGAACACTGGAGATAGTGGGAGTGAGGGTGACGTTAAATACTGGAGATAGTGGAAGTGAGGGTGAGGCTGCTCTGCGTGTAAAATGGGTTTCGAACTTTCAATGTTCACTGCTCTGTTCACAGCAATTCTTAATGAAAAGTTTGCAGCGGGGGTGTTTAAAATGTACTGATTCTGTGCAGTTCTGTAGCAGGTAGAAAAATGGTGTGAAAATTACAGCAGCAAACAATTCAGGGATGCCCAGAGTGAAACAGAGTGATGGTAAAGGTTTCGGACTTGCCTGTATCTGCTTCGGACCAATGTGGAACTTGTTGAGGACATTACTGAGGAACCTCTGTACCTCGTACCAAGGGTAGATGCTGTTTGACCCATCCAACAGAATGACAATGTCCATGGAGACGCCACAGTCTGAAACAAAGGCAGAGTCCATTACAGAGATACAGATAAAGGAATAAGAGAGAAGGCAAGGTTCACTGTGCGTACCAACCTTTGTAAACCTGAAATTCCAGCACATTCAGACCCCTCTCCCTGAATTCAAAGGTCCTGCTCTGAAATCGTGAGGATGATATCACAAAGCATCACAATTCACATCGTAAGCTATGTTACCACTAGCTGAATGAAAGATTACAATGACAGAGTGCTTTTCATGGCCTCAGCTCATGCAGTTGTCTTCTGTAGTGTAGTCACTATTGTACTGTGGGAAATACAGCGGCCAATTTGCACACAGCAAGCTCCCACAGACAATAACATGGCCAGATCTTCTGTTTTTGCAGTGACATTAATTAAGGATTAAAGATTGGCCAGCCCAGCATGGAGAACTCCTCTGTTCTACCTTAAAATAGTGCCATGGGATCTCTTACATCCACCAAAGAGGGTAGATAAAGCCTCAGTTTAAATTTTCATCCAAAAACTCAGCCTTTTGACAGGCTTGGATTAAACAATCAAGGATCTGGGGTGGGACTTGAACCTACAACCAGAAGCAAGAATTTTCCTAACTGGGCCCTTGCTTACATCTAATGGCAATGGTAACAAGGTTCTAACAGGAAGAGGGAAATCTGACCAAGGTACCAGAGGGTGGACGGAGGCCTCTGAGATAACAGCCTGTACCAACTAGGGCGGCTCCATCTCTATGTTCCAATCCCTGCAGCCAATTTTGAAAAAAAACCTCTTGCAAAGAAAGCCCAAAGTAAAGCATCTTAATCCTGACCATGTGTTGCTTGGTGTTTTCACTTTGATGGAGTTGGGGAATGGTCAGATCTGCATGGTTAATAGAAGGCCCTTTTCCTCTTCCCAAAGCTAGCAGGGACATAGTGAGGACACTGCTCATACCTTGTGCAGTGGGTGCAATGATCCCTGAAGGCTGAAACTTGGAGCTGATGTTTGTACAGATACCAGTGTTGTAGATGGAACTTCCACACTTCTGCGACCAGAGGGGAGCACACACCTGGAATTAGAGGTCGAGAATACCTGGGTTACTGTGATCAGTTTCTGTCTCCACTTTGTAAACAGGAGAGGGTGCAAAACAGGTCTGAGTACATTGGTGATGATGGGCAATATGTTAACATGGATAAAGGACTGATTAGCTAGCAGGAAGCTGGGAGTACTGATTTCCTTTTTGGGTTGTCAACCTGTACCCATAGAGTGTTACAGAAATGAGTGCTGAGCCCGCAACAATTTACTATCTATGTCACTAATTTGGATGAAAGGACTGAATGTAAGGTAGCTATATTTTCTGATATCACTAACCTAAGAAGGAAAATACATTGCCAAGAGCCGGTAGAGGGTCTGCAAAGATCCAAGTTAAGTGACAGGGTAAAATATTGGCAGATGGATATAATGTTATAACTGGGGAGGATTGCCAAACAAAGGGACCTAGCAGTGCAGATGCACAGTTCCTTCAAAGTGGCATCACAGGTAGACAGGGTGATGAAGAAGGCATTTGGCACACTTGCCTACATTGGTCAATGCATTCAGTTGGGACGAAATATTGTGGTTGTACAGGACATTGGTGAGGCCACCTTTGGAATAGTGCATACAATTCTGGTTGTCCTTCTATAAAAAGGATGTTGTTAAACTAGAGAGGGTGCAGAAAAGATTTACAAGGATGTTGCTGGGACTGGAGGGCGTGAGTTATAGGCAGAGGCTGAATAGGCTGGGGATATTTCTCCTGGAGTGTCGGAGGAAAATCATGAAGGGTATGGATAGGATGAATAGACAAGGTCTTTTCCCTGGGTGGGGGAGACGAAACTAGAGGGCATAGGTTTAAGGTGAGAGGGGAAAGTTTTAAAAGGGACCGAAGGGGCAACTTTTTCACACAGAGGGTGGTGTGTGTGTGGAATGAGCTGCCAGAGGAAGTGGTGGAGGTGGGTTACAACATTTAAAATGCATCTGGATGGATATATAAATGGGAAGGGTTTGGAGGGATATGGGCCACATGCTGGCAAATGGGATTAGGTCACATTGGGATGCTTGGTCACTGTGAATGAGTTGGTCTGATGGGTCTGTTTCCATGCTGTATGACTCTATGTGGATGACTTTGAACTTGTCCATTTTGGCTATTATTTAAATGGAGAAAGATTGCACGATTTGGTGATATGGAGAGAACGAGTTTCCTGGGACATGAACCACAGGAGCTGAGTATGCAGGTACAGCAAGTGATTAGGAAGGTGAATGGAAAGTTGCCACTTATGGAAAATGGAATATAAAAGTAGGGATTATTACTGCAACAAAAACAGAAGTTGCTGGGAAAGCTCAGCAGGTGTGGCAGCAATTGTGAAGAGAAATCACAGTTAACATTTTGGGTCCGGTGACCCTTCCTCAGAACTGCAGTAGCGCAGGGCATTGGTGAGACAATATCTGGAACCTGGTGTACTATTTTGGTCTCCTTTTTTGAGTAAAGGTATAATTGTGATAGAAGCAGTTCAAAGAGGGGTTACCTGACTCATTCCTGGGATGAGTTGAAGAAAGGTTGAACAGGGTGGATGTATATTCATTGGAGCACAGACAATTGTGGCTGGGGTGATTTTATTGAAACATAGAATAATCTGAGGGGACTCGATAAGGTTCTTCCTGGGATGATGATTTCTCTAGTTAGGGAGACTAAAACTAGGAGACATGATGAAGGGTCTAGGCCCGAAATGTCAGCCTCTCTGCTCCTATGATGCTGCTTGGCCTGCTGTGTTCATCCAGCCCTGGACCTTGTTGTCTCGGATTCTCCAGCATCTGCAGTTCCTACTATCTCTGATCTTAAGATGAACTCTGTTTGTTCTTCTGAAAGATGTTTCATCTTAAACTCAGCAAAGGGAGTTTTTTCAGCCATGGGTGAGTTTAACTGAGCAACCTTTCCTAACTGGCTTTGCGATCCCAACTACTTCCAGATCTACCAAAGGACTCTCCAAACAGTCACTGTTTAAACAGCCCCAGCAGAGTAAGCAGCTATCAAGTCAATTTCTAAGAAGCCTTGTTTACAAAACTCTCCAATAGCCACAGTGAACTTACAACAGCCTCTTTTCAAGAAACCACTCCAGGTGTTTCAACAAAATTTGAAATAAATCCAGTTTTCCACATTCCTTCAATCTGAAGTCCTCCAAGTAATACTAAATATGAAGTGTCTTCAGAAACCTATATAATACAACATAAAAAGTGGACGATAGGGAGAGATCTTTCTGCAGAAAAAATGACAGAGTGTAGATTTGACAGGAACCTGCAAGTGTAGCCCACGGTGAAACTCAACACAGGAAACAGTCCAGGGGATAGCGAGGCTGTGAAGGCCAGGGGGCTGCGATCTCTTCTGCAATAAACCCAAAAACCAAATGGTATCCTGGCGGTGAATATTGCTAAATGTTGGTTATGAGATCAATGATCACTATGACTGGCACTATCATGGGCCTTCAAATAGCCTCACATAAGGCCCAGGAAACAGTACCAAATTACAGGCATCATGCCATGCAGCTGTTTACAGGAAAGAAAGGAACAAAGCGGAGGAACAAATAGCTGGGGAAGAAAGACGTTCCTTATCCTGGAGAAAATAGTGGGTGGCATTTGGTTGGCATGTTGTGGCTGCTTTTATTCAGAAATGTTGACCTTGAGATTTGGAGGAATAATATTAAGAAGTGCTGCTGGACAGCTTGGGGCTGGTTGGACTTTCGCTTGAAATCACTGCAGCTCGCAGACTTTTACCCACTAGTCTAGGTTCGATTTGAAACCAAACATTCCAATATATCAAAGCAAACATGATCAGAGACCAGTGAACCTGCTTACCATGAAGCCCTGGGAGTTACGAATCAGTGTCATGCCAAAGTGTGTGTTCTTCATGTCATCAGAGATGTTTTTCAGAGCTGCCAACCCTGCAGCAGTATAGACAAACAAAAGAGACATCTATCATTGAATAGAGAATAATTGAAGCACGCTGCTCCATAAATATATGTTCACCCTCATTAAAACTAAGCACCACACCAGAAATTATATCTCACTCATTAAGGACTACCCTCCCCTTCAGTGCTTTCTGTAAAGTCATTTTCTTGATATTTTGGAACATCTGTTTTGGTAACAACGTCCCAAACTGTACGGGATAACGTACAGAGTAAAGTTTCCTCTCTAATGACCCCATCAAATACTCCCAGAGACAGGGACAGCACAGGGTTAGATATAGAATAAAGCTCCTTCTACACTGTCCCCCATCAAACACTCCCAGGACAGGGACAGCACCAGGTTACATATATAAATGAAGCTATCTCTACATTGAGATAACAAGGTGTAGAGCTGGATGAACACAGCAGGCCAAGCAGCATCAGAGGAGCAGGAAAGCTGATGTTTCGGGCCTAGACCCTTCTTCAGAAATGACCTCCTTTTCTGAAGAAGGGTCTAGGCTCGAAACATCAGCCTTCCTGCTCCTCTGATGCTGCTTGGCCTGCTGTGTTCATCCAGCTCTACACGTTGTTGTCTCAGATTCTCCAGCATCGGCAGTTCCTACTGTCTCTACACTGTGCCCATCAAGCAGTCCTACAACAAGTACAGCACCCTACGCTGCTCACAGATCTCAGCTGATGTTAATCTTGGTCCTTCACAATTGCATCTCCCCTTAGCACTTTGAGTCGCCAGCTGTATCTTTACTGGTGGTTTTCCCAGCCTGTCACCATGTTGTGATATCAATGTGATTGAAATGTCTTACCAGAGTTTAGCTTCATGCAGTTGGAGCTCCTTCTATTCGATATGTTACATCGGTATATGTCACCATTCTTGTTCTTGGCAATGCCGTCCCGGGGGGCACTGACCAGTAACCTGGTAACACAAAGGTTAAAAACAACACCACAGTTTGGCTATTACTTGTAGACAAGTGTTTCACAAAATATTTAAGAACATAATGCATAAGAGCGGGAGTAAGCCATTCAGCATAAAGTCTGTTCTGCCATTCAATGAGATCATGGCTGATCTGATCATCCCCAAGTCCACTTTCCTGTTTTATTTTCCCATAACTCTTGGCTCCTTTACTGATTAAAATCTGTATATCACAGCCTTGAATATACTCAACAAACCAGCCTCAATAGCCCTCTGATGAAAAGAATTCCACTGGCTCACAACTTCTGAAAGAAGCAATTCCTCCTCATCACTGTCTTAAATGTGTGACCCCCCTCATTCTGAGATGAAGCTTTTTGGTCCGAGACTCTCAGACAAGGGGAAACAATCTCTCTGCATCTACCCTGTCAAGTTCCTAAGGGAATGTTTCATGCAAACTCCTGGACCAGTTCTGTTACATAAAGAATAAGGGTGTGGGGTGTCTAAGGAGAAATTCTCCAGAATACATCATTGCTTATCGATCTGGTCAGTCATCTCCAGGAGAGGAGGGGGACCCCATACCCCAGTGAGGGTCAGCACCTTCAGGAGAGGGACCCCGCACCCCAGTGAGAGTCACCCCCTTTGGAAGAGGAGGGGGACCCCGTACCCCAGTGAGAGTCAGCACCTTCGGGAGGGGGACCC